GTTCTCGTCAGGTGTTGAGTTACAATAGGCTCTTCGGCAGGGGACGTGGCGCTCCCAGAAAGGCCGACCTGGACCTGTGGGGAGATGTTGTCAAATACGGGGGGTGGCGGAGGGCGGGGGAGAGGCGGAGGCGACAGAACTCCTCCGATTCCCCGGCTCAAAAGCCCGGGGCTTGCGATGACCGGGCGGGGGGGGGGAGAAACCTCCATCCCCGCTTCCATAGGAGGAGAGAAGGCCGGGGAAGGCCGGCCAGCCGACGTTGCGGCTTCCCTCGGCCCGGCTTCTTTTGGGAAGCGCGACTGCGTTTGCCTGGAAGAGCCGCGGCGGCTAACCTGGAGACCCGGAATTCCGATGTTGTGCCACCTGGAGACTCTCTCTCTCTTCCCCCCCCCCCCGTGTGTGTGTGTGTGTGTGTGTGTGGTGTGTGTGTTTGAACCTGGATCCTGTCAGGGCCAAAAGAAGCCTGTCTGGCCTCCGGCCCCACACTCCTCGGGTTCCTTCCTCGTTCAAGGCAGAGTTAGTTGATCCTTCAGAGGATGCTGCACCTTCGAGTTAAATTAGATATTTGTGTTTGTAGGATCGGTATATAACCGTTTAATACCATCGGGGGTTCAATGGCTCGCTTTATTGTATTTTCTTAAAATGTTAAGGCTAAATTTTAATTTTAATTCGTAAAATAAGCAGCCTCGTAGTCAGACTTTTCTTTTTTTTTAAAGTGAGTCGTTTCATTAGAATCATTTCTACACATCGTGCTTCCAAAAGTTAATATTCTCCACGTTACGAATTATTGGGAGCGTCTTTAGTTAGAAAAAAAATATATCTTCCCATCGCCTTCTTACATTTCTGTCCATTTCTCTTCCAAGGCTGATTCCCTAGTCCTCTTTTATCTTCTTCCCCAGTATTTAAATCTTTCCGCTCAGATGATCTGGATGACCTGGATTCCGAAGGACCCGGGGAAAATGGATTTCGAGTGGGCACCCACCTTCCCATTCCGGTTCAGGCTTAACAAACGTTGAACATTAAATAACGTTCCCTTCCCGAGCCGTTCAGAGCCTGGGGGAGACTGGGAGGAATTCCAGAGGCTCCCAGCAATCTCAAAGTAAAATCCAACGGACAAATAACACAAAAGAGGCAGGAATATTTGGTTTGATTTCTTTTTTTAACAAGTCTGATTATTTCACCCTGAATATAGCAAAATGTTCCGCATTGATCAGAATTAGAATCACGGTTCGAATGGGGTGCAATTATTAGACTGTACAACCTTTCTAAACGATGTTTAAAATCTAAAGCCGAAATTATTGATTTAGATTGGGTGCCCGCATCCATGCCCCTTGTGCTGATATTTTGCAAAGCTCTCCTCTCCCCTCCTTTGAGAAATCTATTAGCCGATGTTTACATCCCAATGAATACATATAAGGGTTTCTGGAGCAATGCCTGCGTATGTATTGTGGGGGGAAGGGAGGCTGGGGGGGGAGAATGCACCTTGATCTCCCGTTCTGCAGCTTCAACATGGTGCTTATAAATTCACACCGCCAGTCAGGCAGCGACTTAGTGTCCAAGCGGATTCTTGGTTAGAAATCGTGCTGGAAGGGAAAGGGTTACGCCTGGCACGGCCCCTTAGCCAATCCCCGCGCTTGAAAGTTTGAGAGGGCTGGGAGGCAGAACCTTCAGCAACGGCTCCGCCCCTTTTCTGCAGAAGGGGGTCCCGGTTGCTTTCCAGGCCCCAAGCCNGGGGGGGGGGGGGATGAGTCTTTTCGAGCCTGGAGGGGAGGGAGGCGATCTTCTGCTCTGGCTAGTTCGCGGGCTGGACGGCTGGCCCGGAGCTTTTTCTTCGCCTCCGAACTGCACGTCGACTCGGAGCGCAGCCTTCTGGGTCTCCCACGGGCGCCGCGATTTTCTCACCTGCCCTTCGCTTCCCCAGCGGGTGAAAGCAGCCGAGGCCAGAGCGGGCTCCACGCCCGCCGGTTCGAGAGACGATTCCAAGCCCCGCGAACGCGGAGCCCGGTGGAAGCTTGAGCGGGGAACGGAGCGTCTCCCCTCTGGCTAAGTAAGGGTCTGTTGGAGGCAGCCTACTAAGCGAGGCTCCGTCGTCTCCCTCGTCTCGGGGAAGGAAACGGGCAGCGCCTCCATCCATCCCCGAAGAGCAGCGGTTAGCTCTGTGCCCGCCGGGATCGTCTCCAAGACTCAGGCCTCCTTCGCAGGGGAACTTCTCGGCTTTCTCTCGAGGAGATATTAATCCCCTCCAGCGTTTCTTTCAGATGCGCGGCGCTTTCCGCGGTAGAAACGGAATAGACCCGCGCGTAGTTGTAGCAGGATGTGATGAGGGTCTGTCGATTGCTACAGGCTTAAAGGCAAGACTGGCACAGCTCCTCGGAAGATGGGAGTCCGAAAAGTTGATTTTCTGAGTAAACATCAGCCGGCTCCCCAAAAACTTTTACCTGGTGCTATTCTTGTAAAACCGGTGGATTATCAGACCACGGGGGGGGGGGGTTTCCAGGTGACAAGAGGGGTCTGAAAGGGAACAAATAAAGCTCCCCTTTTGTACACGGGATGGTTGGCCTGGTTCACCCAATAGGCAAAGCCCCGATTTGAATTGCTTAGTTTTGACTTAGATTTAAGTCAGTTTAAGACAGAGTTTGTGACTTGTTCCAGCAGTGGAACTGTGGGTGGTTCCACAAGGTACACTAAAACAATTGGGGGCTTGATGTAATGTGTGAACCTAGCCCCAGTGCTTCTAGTGGGCATGGAGAAAAGGGTTCAGCCTTCCCATCTCAGGTGCTCTTAGTTTGTTGGTTCTCTGTCATCTGGAGTCCATCTGGATGCTTTATGTGTCACTTTGCTTCTCCCAGGCAGCAGCCTCTTTTAAAGTTGAGTATTTCAGGGTTTAATTAATTTTTAAAAATGTATTTTCACCTGAGCCCTGTTCAGTAAATCCTACTATAACAGCTGTTTATTATTCTGGTCATGGCCAATGTAGAGATGTTCTGTTTTATTTTCACTTCAATCAAATCTTGGGATGACATACAACTTTCAAACATTTGACCATCCACAGTCAAATGTTGAAGGATTCGGAAATAGGAATGTGACTTTGCCATGGCAGGCTATAAGCTTTGCAACCTTCTGTTTTGTATTAAACATTAACAGTGGCTCTTGACTTCTCTTTCTGGAACCCGGCTCCTAAATAGCTATGGAAACCATCTTTAAAAAGATTCCTAGGAAGATGCCAAGTTCTGTAAGAGATCTGTTTTTTTCTTTACTGGAATCATCTTTGGAGATACCTCTAAAGAAAGCATAGAGTGGAAGGCTGCCCGCAAGCCCGTGGACCCTTTTCTGAGTTACCCTCCGAAATAGGTTTAAAGACAGCCTTACTCCTAAACCAGGTGTACTTTGAGAATCTGTTTGGAAACAGTATTCATGACTGAATTTCCTCTTTCATAAACCACAAACTTGAAAGTTTCCTTAAAACTATTGGACAACAATAATCAGTCCTATTTAGCTGCATCATAAATCTGGAAAAAATGGAATGGATCAGTTTCATAGATAGCACTTATAGAAAGCTTTTTTTTAAAAGGTAGATGGGGTTTTTTTTCCTCCCATTGATGGAAACAGAAAATCAGTCCCTGGACAATTAAAAAAAAACATTAAAAAAATTAAAGTCTAAAAGAAACTGACCTGTGCCAAGTCCTGCTAAATCCTGTGACAAAGCCTGAAAAATTCCAAGGATTTTACATTTGGTCCTGCAATGGGTTAGTAAACTTGTTTTGTAGCTTAACAGCTCCTTCTGGTATCATGTACAGTAAGCCATGGTTTATGATTTGCTTATTTATTAAATACACCATCATTACTTGAGTACACCCCAGAGCCTTTTTATAGTGAGAATTTTGAGTATTAGCTTCATCTAATCTCTTATTTCCCTCTAGTTTTTTTTTAAATCATGAAAATAAATATCTTTTTCTGCTGACTAGAGTCTTATAAAAATATATGAACCAAAATGACTATTTCACTTAAGTCATTCTGATGCTAACTTTTCATTGCAAACCAACTGGAGTCCTTTTGCTGTTGTCTTTCATCCATGTTTTCAGGAAAGCAAAAGTTGGCTTCAATCTTCGCCAGACATAGAATCCATATAAAAGAATCTAAGCTGCAACTATGGGGCTGGTTGAAATTAGGTAGGCAGGAAAGGAAAGAGGAAATAGATGAAAGGAAGAAGCAGGATAAGGCTGTAATAATTATTGCAATTTTGAGGGTAGCCCCTCATTATTACACATCTGAATTAAATATTGCATGTATTGTTTTATGCATTTAAATAAAAACGAAATAGAGCTCAGGCTATTATCAGTATAAACAAGGTCTAAAGTTATTTTATCTTTAGATAAAATAACAAGAGATGATAGATACAGTAATGAGTATTGAAACATCCTTTTCTTAGTCTAGAATAGATAAATGCAGTGAGAAAGTGTAGATTACCCAAAAGCTTTTCCAGCTGCAGTGAATTCCACCCACATGAGGCAGCCATAGAGTAGGCCCTGCCTGGTCCACAAGAAGGGTCTCCCCCCCCCAACTTCATTTAGTGCCACCGGTTCAACTGAAAGGGGTTTTTTGGGGGGTTCCACAGCAACTTCTTTTGCTGACTTGAGAAACCCAGCCTTAGTCCAGAGGGGAATCATGCTTTTGTATCTTTTTTTTTTTTTTTTTGAGGAAAAGTAACGGAGAGAGAGTGGGCTGTAAAAGGGTCAAGCCAATTCCCTGTGCATGCCTGCAGCTAGGTCAGACTGCGGAGGAAAGGGTACCCCCCCCAACCCCCAAAATTTAAATCATACCAGTTAAAACTATGCTACTTTTTTTTTTCAAGAAAGCAGTAGATGGAGACTGCTATCAGAAGATGGGATACTTTTTTTTAAATAAATGCCACTTCCATTATTCTGGGCATCTGTCAAAGACCTGAGGTTCTTTCCAGATATTTTCCTCCGCACTCTCCACTCTCGGCAGACGATCAAGCGATGAAGGAGATCCCGGCTGGATTTACACAGGGCCCTAATCTGTGGTTTAACCGTGGTCTGTCGAATAAAACGACGGTGGGCTCACTCGGCACTAACCCCGAGATGACTGTCTGCAGAGTGGGCTGGAGCCCATCATTGAAGTCCATTCCTGCCGCCGCCCGGAGCTTGCCGAGGCAAGGATTCCAGCTCCCAGGCTCCTCAGACAGCGGGGCCGGGAACGTTGGACTTTGGAGTCGCAGCACTTTCGGTGGGCACGCTTGGAGCGAGGCTGAAAGACGCAATGGGCCGGGCCGGGCCGGGACTCGCACGTTGCCGAGGGTAAGCGACCATCCTGGAGGTGTTTGTGGGCTTCTGGTGAAGCCTCGGAGCTGGGGCGCCCAGCAGCGTCCCCGAAGTCCGACGGTCGCGGTCCTGTCTGCGGAAGGAGAGGTGGTGGCCAGATTCACGCCTCTCCTGGAATCGGGACTACGTTGGCCGCCATTCCCACAACACCACTGACCTGCGAAATAGCGAACCGCTCTTAACCTGGGTGGTGTTTCAAGCCAGGCGTTCGCGTGACTGCCTGGCGTTGGCTTGGGCAACGTATGAATGAACCCCCTCGGTGAAAACCGCGGTTAAGGAAAGTAGGGCTCGTGAACGAACCAGGTTAGTGGTTCTACCTAGATCAGGGGTAGGCAACCTTGGCTCTTTTATGACTTGTGGACTTCAACACCCAGAATTCCTCAGCCAGCAAAGCTGGCTGAGGAATTCTGGGTGTTGAAGTCCACAAGTCATAAAAGAGCCAAGGTTGCCTACCCCTGACCTAGAGGGAGACCCGCTGACGATGACCCCCACACAGGGCTGCAGGCTCGTTGCCAAGTCGCTGGCGACCCATTCCGGTTGGCCTCTCTACAGGCGGATCTGCGCTCTGGTTCTCGGCGACTTGCAAACCGAGCGTTGACACTTAACCCAAAGCGCTACTTTTGTTCAGGGCTGGGCCGGGGGGGGGGGGGGG